CCACCCCCTCCCCCCTCCCCCAGTCACAGACCCACGCCCAACCCACAGGAGATCGATGAAAAAGGGGAGTTCCAGAAGACAGGTGATGGATGACGCTCACCTTTGTTCACTTTTGTTCAACTTTACTGATCTTTATCCACCTCTGTTAACACGTGTTCGCTTTTTGTTCATCTTCGATCAACATTGTTCACTTCTGTTGACCTTTGTTCATTTTTGTTCGCCTTTCGTTCACCTTTGTGCAACATTGTTCACTTTTATTCACCCTTGTTCATTTTTGTTCAAATTTCGTTCACCTTTGATCCCGTAGCGAGTCAGGATAATATCTATAGGATTAATAAGACCATTATCACAACAGCTTATTAGATATGCACATCAGCAACCAACAAGTCGATTAGCTTAATCACGTGACTTGTAATTACGAAGATGAGGTAGCGGCGCCGTAATTAGCGACCTGCGTACACAGGTATTATCTCTACGGTCCCTAATTAATGAGTCAGTCAATAGAGGTCAATGTTCACTGTCTTTTAGTAAAGGGATTGGGTTGATTTCTTCATTGTGAGTGGGTTGTAACTGGTGGGTCATTATAGGTCAATATTAAGAGCAAGGGAGGGACAGAGGGAGAGGAGAGAGGGAGGGAGGGAGGGGGAGGGAGGGGGGAGGAGGAGGGAGGGAGGGAGGGAGGAGGGAGAGAGGGAGAGAGGGAGAGGGAGAGGGAGAGGGAGAGGAGAGGGAGGGAGGGAGGGAGGGAGGGAGGAGGGAGGGAGGATAGAGGGATAGGAGAGAGGGAGATAGATAGATAGATAGATAGATAGAGATAGATAGATAGAGATGAGAGATAGAATGAGAGAAGAGAGAGAGAGAGAGAGAGAGAGAGAGAGAGAGAGAGAGAGAGAGAGAGAGAGAGAGAGAGAGAGAGAGAGAGAGAGAGAGAGAGAGAGAGAGAGAGAGATAGATAGAGAGAGAGAGAGAGATAAACACACGCAACAAGTGAAACAAAGTAGAGTGAACAAAGGAAAAAAAAATGAGAAGAAGAAGCTCTCTATCGACTTCCGGAAATAGAAAAAATGTTTCAACAGCGCGCGATTTTCTTAATTTCTATTATATTAACTCAAATCTAATTTACTACATGTATCTTTGGGAACTTAACGCTGACGTAAACCAAAAGGATAAAGAGTAAGTGAAAATAAAAAAAATGTCTCTACAAAAAGAAGAGAAAAGATATATCATTATTTCTTTTAACAATTATTTGTTTAAAAAATATCTCCTACTTACACTTGGACATTTTAAGCTAACCGGAATAATTGAAGCCTAATCATAAATCAAATATGGAAAAAACCTTGGAGATGAAATATGATTATCGAATTAGCATAAAAATATCCAAATAATACCAACTCCTACTTTAACAAAACAAGAAAAAGATCTCTCTCTCCTCTCTCTCTTCCCTCTCCCTCTCTCTCTCTCTCTCTCTCTCTCTCTCTCTCTCTCTCTCTCTCTCTCTCTCTCTCTTCTCTCTCTCTCTCTCTCTCTCTCTCTCTCTCTCTCTCTCTCTCTCTCTCTCCCTCTCTCTCTCTCTTTCTCTCCCTCTCTCCCTCCCTCCCTCTCTCTCTCTCTCTCTATCTATCTACATGATTTTTATATTATTTTTTTTCCTTTATTTAATATTCTTTACACGCATTCTGATATGATGCGCATTTGTCATGGAAATTGCAATGTTTGTCATGTCATTTTGCAATTCATCAGATCACCCTCACGTGTCACGTGTTCTCCTGAAATGTGATATTGATAGATTATAATATCGATGCAGAATAAAAATTATTATGATGATTTGTCTTTGAGAATTATTGATCTTTGTTGATATTGATGATAATGTTTTGTTGGTATTGGTTGTGTATTTGTTTTTTTTTCTTGATGATGGTAATTATAGGTATAATGATGATAGTTATGATAATTTACAAGACAACAACACAAGTAATGATAACGATAATAGATATTAGCCATGATGATTAATGATAACAATGATAATGATAATAATAATGATAATGATGATGATTATATCAATGATAATGATGATAATGATAATGATGATGATTACATCAATGATAATGAGGATGATGATAATGGTAATAACAATAATGAACCTAGCAATACTACTACGAACAACATAATAACAATTAGAACGATAATAATGATAATAGTAATAATAACAATAAAATAATGATAATAATGATAATTATACTGATAATGATGACAATAAAGAATACAGTTTTGGTAATTAAAACGGTAATTGTAATAAAAACAAAGCTAATAATGAAGAAAATAGGTTAGGTTAGGTTAGGTTAGTTAGGTTAGGTTAGGTTAGGTTAGGTTAGGTTAGGTTAGGTTAGGTTAGGTTAGGTTAGGTTAGGTTAGGTTAGGTTAGGTTAGGTTAGGGTTAGGTTAGGTTTAGGTTAGGTTAGGTTAGGTTAGGTTAGGTTAGGTTAGGTTAGGTTAGGTTAGGTTA